GCACCCGTTTTATTTCGATGTAAGAGTTCAAAAAGTGTTAAACTTGTATACCAATTATCAAGGTACAAATGGTGTCCTTTATTCAAATAACGTTGCATGAGTTCCATTACAACTGACCCACTCATTCCAAGTTTAGGTGTAACTGTACATTCTGTATTTGATCCCGTATAAAAGATGAAGTCACGGATAAATTTAGTTTCACAATCGACGAGCTGGAATGATTTGATTCCAAATCGGTGACGCTTAGACGGAATATATTGTTTAAATCTAAGTCTTCCTTTCCATAGCATAAGACTTTCATCAATGCAAAGATTTTGCGTTGGATTAATACAATTTGAAAAATTTTTCTTCAACTCATCTATAATTGGTTTTATTTTCTCAAGAGGGTCGTTGTCAGAAATATCTTCGTTATTGACAAAGTGCAAGTAATGTAGAATGTCTTGATATCGATTCCTTGTAAAATACTGACTGAAAATGGGTGTAGATAATAAAGGATCGGTGCTCCAGTAATCCTGAATCCTATTTTTGTTGATAAGGCCAGTAAGCATCGTAATCGCAAAAAATGTATACATTTCCACTGAGGTTACATCCTGCCAGTTAGACATATGCTGACGTTCATATGTTGAATTTTGAGAATAGTAGCGGTTCGTTTCGTTCACAATATACTGCACTATATTTTCACCAAAAAAGAGTTGAAAATAATCAAATGATGTTTTTCCAACAAGCTGAATGATATCACGTATACCTGGTTCACCTCTGAACTTTGGTATCACTGGTATGAATCGTGCAGACTGCCAATGACGTTCAGCTGGAACTTCATCATCAGTAGAATCCATCGATATGTAACTGAAAGCTGCCAGGAGATCATCTTTGGATGATAAGTCAGATTCAGAGTTATTCATGACTTTCCCAGCTTCCTTTTCAGTCAAATGTCGTTTTCTCAAAGTTGCCATATTGAAATTGTAAGAGATTGGCTGTTGAAATTGATGATTAGTAGGCAACGGAGAATGTTTTTTATTCGTTTTTTACTTTTCTTTTAGTTATTGGAACGATATATATATGTACTGCTTGTTAGAAACCGAAAGAATTTACTGGATTGTATATAAGTAATAGAATCAACTAGAATCTTACAGAAAGATAAAGACGCACCAGACAACGTTAGAGAAAGTAAAATATACTAAATACAAAAGAAAAGAACGAAAANCTAGAATCTTACAGAAAGATAAAGACGCACCAGACAACGTTAGAGAAAGTAAAATATACTAAATACAAAAGAAAAGAACGAAAAAAAGGTGACTGTGCTAGAGCACACTAGAGCGATAAAAAATATGGATGGAATGTGCACGAATAAAACGATCAATAAAAAGAAAAGAGAAGAATTTTATCAGTTTGGCACTATCTAACAAATTATAAGAAGCTGTTCTAAGCACTTGAAATACATAATGTTATGACTTTTATTCGATAAATACATCAGCACACATATATGTGTTGCCGGGAGCGAAAGGGTTAGTATGAAGCAATGGTCTGCGATGAAGCCAAATAGAGATAAAGTTGAATTAGGACATCTATATTTCTTGCCTAAGCCTCATAAAGTAGGATGATACATCTTTTGTCTTTAATTTCTTGTCTGTGTGTTCTTAGATTGGTACACCATTGAGACCTATTATATCATCGATGAACGGACCGACAAATAAGATATCACATTTCTTGGAGCATCTTCTACGACCTTTATTCGATCATGTAGCGAAAGAGACGACTATCATCAATGGTATTGATCTTGTTCGACAATTAGAAGAATACCAAAGAGATGGTCGCCTGTCAACATCAACTCATTTCATTACATTTGATGTTACTGATCTTTACACGATGATACCTCGTAATGGATCATTGGAAGCATTAGGACGATTTCTTATTCGAACATCAACAAAAGGCAAAATCGGTAATTTATCTATTGATACGATCTTGCAATTAGCTCGTCTAGTATTAGATACAAATTATTTTGTCTATAACGAGAAATACTATCGACAAATTAAAGGTGGCGCTATGGGTTCAGCATTTACCATGACATTAGCTAATGTCTACATGTTAGAATGGGAACAATCATTAGTTGAAATGCAAGTGCAACAAGGAGAGTTGTACGGAAGGTAAGGCGAATGAATGAACGAAAGGGAGTACATATGTCTGACTTCTATATTTTCTGCCTTCTTCGTTGTAGATATATCGATGATGTATTCATGACATCGAATATGTCTATTGATGACATACGTGCTAAACTCGATTGGATGAATAAAAAAGATGGTAAAAATATACGAATCACTTATTCAGTTGGTTTCAAAATCGAATTTCTCGGTGTTCAAGTTGAAAATCATCACGGTTCATTGAAGACATCCGTCTATCGTAAGCCAGCTGCTGAACCATATATATTACCATATTCATCGGATCATCCTCGTCATGTACATATCAACATACCGTATCAAGCATTATTACATGCTGCTCGACTATGTTCAGATGTGTACGCATTCGACAAAGAACGATTGAACATTGAAATGAAACTTCTATTGAATGGATATCCTCCACGATTTCTCAAGTATCATTTCGATCGATTCTTTCGATTGAATCAGGTAACACAAGTTCATACTGAATTACATGTAGAGCAATATCAAGCTTTACATCAAAAACTATTACATTTGCCTACACGACGTGAAAAGAAATATCAACAACAGGTGTCAGTAGCAGATCAGACTGATGAAGAATCGTCGATTGCAGCTAATGATGTGTTAACAAAGAAAGAATGGAATCGGAAGATTTTAATGTTACCACATACGTTTGAAAGTGGTCCATCAAAGAATTTCAATCGACAATTTCGACAGCTCTGGGCAAATTATTATGTCTACAATGGGTCAGTCGTCAAAGATGTATGTATCATGATAAAAGCATTGACAAACTCATCTTTGAATGATCTGTTCGTTCGAAAGAAACCTTCAGCATCATTATTGACTCGAATAGAAACAACAGACGGTGAACAGTTGATCTAAAGCAACTTTTTTTTGTCATTGTGTATGTTTTCATTTTTCCATGATCATCATTTGTCAGCTGTCCGCTTGAAAAAAATTAAGTTGCATGATGTAAACCTCCCCCCCCCCCCCCCCCCCCCAGCAGACCCCGCGGAGTCGACAGCAACGACTCTTCG